AGTTAGATAGATAGATAGATAGATAGATAGATAGATAGATAGATAGATAGATAGATAGATAGATTGATAGATAGGTTGATAAATAGACAGACATGCAATTAAAACCGGGAATCATTCCAAACATCTGGCATACAGTAGTAGTAAACAAAACCATTAACAACTCTCCCTCTGACAGCATAGACGAGAACATTTATCGCCAGCAGTTCAACCTCACATACCCATCTGATATACTGCTATCCTGTGGGTTCCCAGAAGGGCTGAGGGCAATGATAACACTCACATCCTCAATATTAGACAACCTTCAGAATCTCCCTTAGCACTGGGTGTGGAGCTTTCCAGCTAATGTTCCACTGCTGTAATTGAAAGTTTTAGGGGGAACTGTTTATGTGTTTTACGCCCATGCTACATGAAACAGTGTGTCATGGAATACTGTGCTCTCAGAGTTCATCACAAATCACCAAAGTCTAGAAGACTGTAGGGATCACACTGTTTTAATGAGCTATCATATCGCCAAACAATAAAAGAAGAATCACACTGAGCTAAAGAAGCTTGGGGTTGTGTGTGTGTGTGTGTGTGTGTGTGTGTACGTGCTGTTAGAGAGAACGCTTTGATTGCATGTGCTGTAATGGCAGCTGTGAATCTCCCTATTACAGGAGGAAGGCCTGTCAAAACATTGATTTTGCCATTTTGACAGGACAAAGTAGAGAAAAGACAGTTTTCTGCTATTTGAAACTAACAACACACTTTTTGGACAATTTGTGGTTGTCAAATGTCAGTGGCACATGTCCATAGTCACACCTGCGGTTACTCTGCTAGGACACCTGTGTGAACATCTGTGTGTGTGTGTGTGTGTGTGTCTGTGTGTGTGTGTGTGTGTGCTGTGATTGCATATGCTGTAATGGCAGCTGTGAATCTCTCTATTATAGGGAGGAAGGCCTGTCAAAACACTGATTTTGCCATTTTGACAGGACAAAGTAGAGAAAAGACTAATGATGGTGAATAGTTTTTTTTATTTTGACAGCAAGACTCAAAGTAAGAGGAATCTTCAAAACTGCTAAACATCATAGAATGTGAAAAAATACTGTTGAAAGAGTTGCATGCCATGTCCTCAAATCAGAAGAATATTTAGTTGTCGATTAGTGCCACCTATTGTAACTGCAACCATTTGTTGGTGATTTGTTTCACGTTTTGTTTTGCCTCTATGATTATATTAATACTGTAGAATCTAAATATTACTATTATGTAAAAATATATATAATCAAAAAAGATAAAAATATATATGTATATTTATATTATATTTTATAATTAATATTCTAAATATGAATATAATAATGTAATATGTTGTATAAAAATATAAAGGATAAATTATATTTATTTTCATTAAACTACTGTACAAAAAGTTTGGGTCGGTAAGCTTTGCTAATGTTTATGAAATAAATATTTGATGCTTACAATAAAAATACAGTAAAAACAGGAATATTGTGAAATATTATTACAAATTTAATTATTACTATTTTACAATAACTTTATTGTAATATGCTAATTTGCTCAAGAAACATTATTATTATTATCATCATCAATTTTGAAAAAAAGTTGTGCTGCTTAATATTTTTGTGGAAACCATGATACATTTTTTTTAAGGATTCTTCGATGAATAAAAAGTAAAAAAAAAATTAAAAAAAAAACATTTATTTGAAATCAAAATCTTTTGTAAAATTCTTTTTACTCTCATTTTTGATCCATTTATTATGTCCTTGCTGAATAAGCATATTAATTTCTCAAACTTTTGAACAGTAGTGTAACTGATTAAATTATGTTAATATTTAGAAACTGCAGACATTTTGGAATGTCCTACGCAAGTTCTGAGGGCCAACTGAGTTCATCCATCCACTAAAATCACACTGGTGAACATATTTCTGAGAAAGCTCTAGCATTGTGTGTCTGTAGATGTCACTTTTGCAATTTTGATATCTAAAGCAATGAAACTTCTTGTGGTCTCACCCCTGACATGATAACTGAGCATTTCAGTAAAGCAAAAGAAAATGTGTTTTTTGTCCTTGTTCTTCCTTCAACCCCTAATGTCTGAATAGAGAGTCTGTTAGGCTGGTCTCCATCCAATCAAAGCCCTCAGACTCCTGTGGTTCTGACATCTCTGCCACGATAACTACAGTTCACATCATTAGATATGGATTTTCTGGCCCGAATGAACAGCAGTCGTTGTTTCCAAAATTCGGAATGAATGTGAAGAAGTAAAGCCATGTTTTAGAGAGGGACTGATCAAAGAGAGGCAATGTGAATGCATGATGGATGCTAATGTTCTCTTTTATGTTAATGCAGCCTGTGATGTGCTGCGAAGCAATCTCTATAACATTTATACTCCCATCCATCCACCCTAAAACAGCACTCTTCTCTTCCTCTGGTTTTTCGCTCTCTCTCATTTACGCACATGCTCAAACACATCTATAATGCATCCAGTGTAATGGAAGAATCTTTAATTCATCATATTGAGAATGGCAGATGACTCACCGTTTTTTAATCTTATCTTTCTGTCCCTCTTTCCCCCACACACAATCATTCACCCAGTGAGGAGCCCATGTTTGTCTCCGGGCTGCTGTCGGGAAACTCTAACATGCTGAGTGCCTTTGCTGTTCCCTTTAAACACTCATAAATTCAGTTTAAATTCACAGTAAGGGAGGTGCACGTTTGTACCTGGAGGAGGTGCTGCCCTCTGTTGGGTCTGAGTTGCGACTGCGGTGTCCAAACCGAGTTTCCTCTTGGCCTCTAGTACTGGATTTTCGAACTGGGTTCTCTGGTTTATGTGACTGAGGATGACAAGAGAAAGTTCAAAAGTATATTGCTAGCCTATACTTTAATAAGCATTATAAACAAATCTAATTATATCATAACACTTACTCAACGTAGTATGTGCCGTACTGCGGGTCATCAATCTCCTCCCAACCATATGGAAGTTCTGATGATGAAGGAAGGAAAGCAATGTGTTTAAATGCCAATCCACACACACACACACACACATGGCTGCTGCAACAACATTAACAGCATGCACATTTTTAAGGGGTCATATCACAAAGAACCATCAATTTCCTTGATTTTTAAAATGTAAATATACTTTGCCCTTTGCCAAAGGTTAGCCAATCATAACAAAGCTGAAGTACTTACATAAAGAAATATTACAGGTACTTTAACAGCCTGGTTAATGTAAGGATATGAGAGTGGGTGTAAAATAGTTATAAATTAAATGATGACAGATTTTTTTGTGCAAACAACATGAAACATAATACATGGACTTCAGAAAAAATAATATAAATAAATATAAATATAAAAATTAATAAATAAATGACCACTTTTCAACATTTAGGAAGGTAAAACATTTAAATTATAATTAAATTATTTTATTTTTATGTAGCATGATATTACGATAATGTTTAATAAAATATATTATTTTTTATTACATTATTTTGACCAAATAGAATACTATTTTTCTGATTTAATTCTGCTTTAAATATATCATATATCATATATGTTCTTAATAAAATTACGTTTTAATGGACAGGGTATTTAAGATGTACTTTACATATTTAACAAAATACATATTTTATAATGCTATCCTAACAAGCAAAACAAGCTAGTGTTTAATAATGTATCATAAGATTTCAATACACTGTATTTTGTAAACAATAAAATAAAATAAAATTTTCCCAAAAATTTTACATTTTATATTTTTAAAGGTTTTTCATACACATATTACGTTGCTTGGAATTAATCTAAAAACAAATAAATATATATTTTTATGACAAAAGATGGCATGTTTACAAAATAGTCAAATAAACAGGCAGTGTAAGCCGCTGTGTGTGTGAGTGTGTATCCCCTCTGCTGTACGTACATTATGCCCAAATGAACTAATGAGGAGAAAAAAAGTGCTGTTCACGCAACAGAGAGCTTCACACACACACGCACAAACAGAAAAGTATTGTGCACCAGTGAGCATATAGCACAGGACTTTAAAACTCCCTTAAGAGAGCAGCTACATTTTGTTAGACATCATGTGTGCTCGTGTGTATATTATAGAGTGAAAAGGCAAGAGGAAGCAAATGCATTCAGATGAGGTTATGCAATCATGCCCTCTGCATTGTGTGCCGGCGTGCATTACCGCGGGAAGTAGGGGTGCTGCGGGTGCTGCAGCACCCCCCTGGAGTGTAGCCCACGAAAAAATGGGGGTGCTGGGGGTGCGGTGTTAAAAATAAATGAATGAACAATATGTAATACAAAATAAATAATATTCATTTTAAATAAAATTCATTCTTAAGCTTGATTCAATATTACTCTTAATGAAAAACACACAACATCAACAATGCTACAATGACAAAGTCGCTTATATTAAACATAAAACTTTTATGAACAGATAAGAACAAATAAGATCAGTGGCGTAGCGTCTGGTTATGCAGGGTATGCAGGTGCATGTGGTCCCGGCCCGGGCAGTTTGGGGGCAACGACGGAACAAATAGAGCCCTGCATGGGCCCTTGTCCAACAGCTTTATGAGAATTCTGGCCCAAGTTCGACTGGATACTGTGACTTTTCTCTCTCTCTCTCTTCCCCATTACACAGCTATTAAAATAGTTCAGTTTTGGTTTTTAAATTTAAAAGTGGTAATTTTTTCTTTTTGTTTCTTTATAAAGTTAATTTAGAAATATGTTTGGAATATTTTATGTTTGTTAAATTCAAGTTTTTGTTTTTTAAAGGAACGACCAAGCGGCAGAGGCAGACAGTGAGTTGAGCATTATGTTTGAACAATTCAGCCTTCTCAAACCAACAAGACTTGTCTAAAATAAACAGACATCAAACACTTCATGCATTTCACAGTATTAATTTAAACTAGATAAATGAGCGCTGTTAGGCGCATATCCAATCGTTTGTGCGGAGAGTGGAAGCTAAAGCGCGCTCTGCAGG